TTAGAAAATGAATTTTTTGTCATTGCTACAGATATTCACAAAGATATTCTCTTTTGCAAGCTTAGGTAAAGCTCAGAGATAGGGTTCAATGACTAGTTTACCCCTAGCCCTCATAACACTTTTTCCAAACTGAAATGACAAATGAGGAAGACCTAATCAAAGAGTAAATTGACAAAGTTGTCAATCACTCTTCTATAGTCAATTTTTTTTTTTTTTTTTTTTGGTACTGGGATTGAACCCAAGGGTTACGACTAAGCTATATCCCCCATTCCTTTTTATTTTGAGCTAGGGTTTCACTAAATTGCTTAGAGCCTTGCTAAGTTGCTATGACTGACCTGAAACTTGTGATCCTCCTGCCTCAGCTTCCTGAGTCACTGGGGTTACAGGTGTGCACCACTGTACCGGGGCTCTGTAGTAATTTCTTATAATTYTATGTTGCCTCAACATCCATTTTTTAAATAAGGGTTGAATTTTCTCATACCAAGAGCAGAACTCAGCTACCTGTGCCACAGTTTCCAGTTTTATATCTTCTCCCAGTTCCTCAATGTGGTTGACACAGACATCTGTCTTAGATAACTGCCTTCTGATAACCACTTCCCTATGCAACAGCTAGATATAACCTACTTGACTGGCTGACTCCTTGAACCCACCACTATCACCCTGCATGGACTGCATAGATATTCTACAATGACCACCTTTCAGTCACAGTGTGACCTCCTGGAACTTGTAACCTCCAAAAACTTGTTTTGTTTTTTGTTTTTATATGGGGGATTGAACCTAAGGGTACTTTACCACTGAGCTACAACTCTAGGCCCCCCACCTTTTTGAGACAGGTCTTACTAAATTGTTTAAGCCTCACTAAACTGTTGAGGCTGGCACAAATTTGTGGGATGCTGGGATTACAGATGCATGCCACCATGCCTGGCATGTGCTTGTATGCTTTAAACCTACCATTTAAAATTCCCCCTTGGGAAATGTTTGGATAAGGCTTTGTACTCACATAGGAGAATACTATGCAGCTATAAGAAAACAAGTTTTCTAACTACGAATATGGAAAGTTGAACAATTTTCATGGTATACTGTTAACTAAAAGAAGCAGTGGAGTTCTGAAGAGTAGAGAGAATATGCTGATATTCGCATGAGGAGGAGTGGAGAAACAGGCATACATACATACATATGTATTTGTTTCTAACTGCATAAAGTAACACTGATGCCAGTGGTTTCCAAACTTGTTCGTACTTTGGAATTACTTCAGGAACTTGGAAAAARCCCTACCCTAAGAGACTAGAATTTAATAAGTATCACATTGGTTTGGGAATTATATAAATATCCCCAGATGATTCCAAAGGCAGAAAAGTTTGAAAACCATTGCCATAAGAACACAAAAAATCTTTTTTTTTAATAGCATTGTGTTCTATTTTTTTTTTTAAAGAGAGAGTGAGAGGGGGGACAGAGAGAGAGAATTTTAACATTTATTTATTTTTTCTTAGTTCTCAGTGGACACAACATATTTGTTTGTATGTGGTGCTGAGGATCGAACCCGGGCCGCACACACGCTAGGCGAGCGCACTACCGCTTGAGCCACATCCCCAGCCCAAAAAATCTTAATATAATCAGTTTTTATGTAAGTGGTGAGTGAAAATAGGGTGGCGGGGTATATATATATAGAAAACAGATCTTTCATTTTATGCTTTTTAATATGATTTTGATTTTTGTCATATTAACTATTCAGAAAATTTAGGAATAAATTCTTTAATGTAAAACACTCAAATAATTGCTTCCACCATGTTTGTTTTCATGATATGGTTTTTACTCAGGGTTTAGAACTCCTAATGCCATCAACACCAAAGCAAGGGTGCAATTATATCTTGGGGAAAAAAATCATACTTTCAAATTTTCTCTATTTTGGCCAAAAGCTTACTTAAGTAAGGATTACAGTAATGCACTACGTGTAGTTATTACATTACCTGTCTTTATACACCCAACAGGAAAGTTTATCACGAGGTGTGGGTGGCTGTCCTTCAAAGTTGGTGATTTTTTTCCAAACATAGGTGCCATCTCTTGTTCGCAAATTGACAAAATAAAGCTTTTAAAAAATGAGAACATTATTAGCATATAAGACATTTAAAAATTAAATCTATACTAAGGAGAACTGTCATCCAAAAATTAATATTATTCTTTATATTTTTAATAGATAAAAATTTTACCTACTAAGAATTATAGAATTAATAAAAATCACAGTGTTTTAGAAGGAAATTATATATAAGAAATACTGAAAAGGACCTTTCCCCATCTGTTCTTGCCCTATAGATATCAATTAAGAGTGTAGTTAATTCTGAAGCAGAAAGACATGGAAGAGAAAAGCAAGTATGCTGCATTTCCCATTTGTTTTTAAATTTTTCTATAGTTATCTTCTTTTAAAATATTTGCAAACTTGGAAGATGAAATGATGTATTAATGATTATATTTTGCTGCACTCCTGAATTAAAATAAAATATTACTCAAGATTTTTTCAAGATGGCAGAATAGAGAAGGTCTTTTTCCTGGGCTGCTCAGTGGTGTGAAACTAAGAAAACAGGCAGCTTCTCAGCAAGGTTGATGAAAAGAGAAAAAAAAAAAAAAGGCAGAGGGACTCAAATGAATTCAGCAAAGTAGAAAGATATAAAATTAACATTTATAAATTCATTGCATTCCTAGACACCAATGATGAATCAAAAGAAAGAGAAATTAGAAAAATTATTTCATTCACAGTGGCCTCAACAAACAAACAAACTTGGGAATCTATCTAACAAAAGAAGTAAAACATCTCTACAATGAAAACTACAGAACACTGAAGAAAGAAATTGAAGAAGACCTTAGAAGATGGAAAGATTTCCCATGTTCTTGGATAGGCAGAATTAATATTGTCAAAATGGCCATACTACCAAAAGTGCTATACAGATTTAATGCGACTCCTATTAAAATCCCAATGATGTTCCTCATAAAAATAGAAAAAATAGTCATGAAATTCATTTGGAAAAATAGAGGCCCAGAAGAGCCAAAGCAATCCTTAGCAAGAAAAAGGAATCAAGAGGCATCATAATACAAGACCTTAAATTATACCATACAGGCTATAATAATAAAAATAGCATGGTATTGGCACCAAACAGACATGAAGACCAATGAAACAGAGTATAAGATACCAAGACAAACCCACATAAATATAGTTATCTCATACTAGACAAAGGCACCAAAAACATACACTGGAGAAAAGATAGCCTCTTCAACAAGTGTTACTGGGAAAACTGGAATCCACATTTAGTACAATGAAATTGAACCCCTATGTCTCATCCTGCACAAAACTCAACTCAAAGTGAATTAAGGACCTAGGCATTAGACCAGAGACCCTATCCCTGGTCTAATATAGGCCCAACTCTCCATCATGGTTGCTTAGGAATTGACTTCCTTAATAAGACTCCTAAAGTAGAAGAAGAAAAATCAAGAATAAATAAAAGGCATGGTATCAAACTAAAAAGCTTCTTCCATGGCAAAGGAAACAATCAAGAATGTGAAGAGAGAGCCTATAGAATGGGAAAAAAATCTTTGCCATCTGTACCTCAAAAGCATTAATCTCCAGGATACATAAAGAACTCAAAAAACTTAACACCAAGGAAATAAATAACCCAATCAATAAATGGCCAAAGGAACTGAACAAACACTTCACAGAAGAAGAAATACAAATGATCAAAAAAATATGAAAAAATGTTCAACAATTCTAGCAATTAGAGAAATGCAAATGAGATTCCATCTCACTCCAGTCAGAATGGCTAATATCAAGAATACAAGTAACAATAAATGTTGGCGAGGATGTAGAGGGAAAAGGTACACTCATACATTGCTAGAGGGACTGCAGATTGTTGCAACCACTCTGGAAAGCAGTAAGGAGATTCCTCAGAAAACTTGGGATGGAACCACCATTTGACCCAGCTATCCCACTCTTGGGTATATACCCAAAGGACTTAAAATCAGCATACTACAGTGTTACGGCCATCAATATTTATAGCAGCTCAATTCACAATAGCTAAGCTATGGAACCAACTTAGGTGTCCTCAATAGATGAGTAAGACAATGTGGTATATATACACAGTGGAATATACTCAGCCATAAAGAAGAATSAAATTATTACATTAGCTAGTAAATGGATAGAACTGGAGTCTATCATGCTAAGTGAAATAAGCCAATTCCACGTCCCAGGGTTGTGGGTCAGTGGTAGAGCATTTGCCTAGCATGTGTGCCTAGCTTGGTTCSATCCCCGGGAGCCACATAAAAATAAACAAATAAAATGAAGGTATTGTGTCCATCTACAACTACAAAAAAAAAATTTAAAAAAAGAAAAGAATAAGCCAATTCCAAAAAACCAAAGGCTTTATGTTCTCTTTGATATGCGGATGATAACATACAATAAGGGGAAGGAGAGAAAAGAATAAAAATTCATTGGATTAGACAAAGGGGAATAAAGGGAAGGGAGGACGACGGGAATGGGCAAGACAGTAGAATGAATTGGACATAACTTTTCTTTTTTTTTTTTTTAGTTTTAGATGGACACAATACCTTTATTTTATTTATTTTTATGTGGTGCTGAGAATCAAACCCAGTGCCTCACTCAAGCTCCGAGTGTTCTACCACTGTGCCACACCCCAGCCCCTGGACATAACTTTTCTGTTTATATATGAATACATGACCGTGTAACTCCACATCAAGTTCAACCACAAATAGGATCCTAATTAGAATAAGTTATTCTCCATGTATGTATAATATGTCAAAATACATTCTACTGTCATGTGCATCTAAAATGAACAAATAAAAAGTAAATTAAAAAATATTACTCGATTGCTGTATCCTTTGTCATCATATCCTCCAAAAAYGTATAGCTTCCCATTAATGCAAGCACCACAGCTTCCTGACATGGAGGTAGGGAGTTCTCCTTCCATTAGATGCATTCTCCTGCAGTAAAAATGACATGGAATACATTAACTTTTTCCAAAGGCAAATAAAAATTCCCCTTAAACTTCCTGAGAATCTTTTCAGTGAAAATTCCTATTGCCAATTAAAATTAAAATGTAATGGTAGTCAATACTGTTAAAACTTTAAGAAGATCCAACACAGAGATTGATCTTTCAACCTGCTTGGAGGAAAAAAAAATCACAAAATATTCATACATATCACTAGAAATGGGAACTAGAGCATTGGTCTTGAGAGGAACAGTAATGGACAAAGAATGGAGAAGGAAATAGAGTAGGGAAAGACAGTCACAGAGAATAAAATATTGAAAGAAAAGGAGAGAGAGACTTATAATATAAATGTTGCAGTATATCCTATGTATGGTCTCAGATTCCTGCAGTCTATGAAAACATTTATAACAGATAATAAGACTAGACACTCTGCAATTTAAATTACTTACCATAACCCACTATCAATATCATAGGTCCAAATTTCATCATTAGGCAAATATACTTCATTGTCTTCAATTGACTAAAAATACAGAATACATAAAATTATGTTTATTGATCAGATAGTAACAATTCAAAAGTTCCTCAGGATAAGAAAAACTGGAATTAAAATACAACAAAACATAATATCAGTCTCAAAGACTTTTAAATATAAGATCAAAAGGAAAGATTTTCTAAGAGAAAATAGGGAAAATAAATGTTTTAAAATCCAAAAATCAAATATATGAGTCTCAAGAAAACGATTTGGGGCTGTTACACTTTCCAAAGGGATTTTGAATAAGGGAAAATACCAAAACAATAAAATTTATGCAGAAGAGCAAAGATTATAAAGCCAGGAAAAAAGGATTTAGAAAAAGGGCAATACATTTTAAGAAAAAAGAAGGAATTAAGGAAGAAATTTTTTTTCAAGACAAAATTGTAAGAGCACTGCCTCAGATATCTTAACTCATATGAACATATCTGTTGAGTGCCTACTATATGCAAAGCATAGTGTTAGGTGTTTTAAATCTAGAATCTAAGGATCAAGATAAATGTAACTAGTCAAAATGATAACTCAAATTTGATAAAATTCTAAAGAAGCTGATAATGTAAGTATTGCATCCTAATATTTATGATGAAGAGAGAAATAAGAATAGTATAACAATATCATTTAAGTTAAAAAAAAAAAAGAATTAGGAGCTGGGAATATAGCTCAGTGGTAGAGTGCTTGCCTAGCAGGCATAAGTCCCTAGATTCAATCCCCAACACCAGGTAAACAAGCAAACAAACAAACAAAAAGTCAAGTAAAATAAATCCTTGGCTGGGTGTGGTAGTGCATGTGTATAATCCCAGCTACTCAGGAGGCTGAAGCAGGAGGTTCACAAGTTTGAGGTCAGTCTCAGTAACTCTGTGAGACCCTCAGCAACTTAGTAAGACCCTGTCTTAAAATAAAACATAAAAAGGACTGGGGATGTAGCTCAGTGGTAGAATGCCTCTGGGTTCAATCTCGCAATACCAAGAAACAAACACAAAAACAAATTCCTTACATAAATTTGACATGATTTCTTAGACTCTATAAAATAACTTAAAAGTAGGTCTATTTTATTTATTTTATTTTTTTATATTTATTTTTCAGTTGTAACTGGACACAATATCTTTATTGTATTTATTTTATTTTTATGTGGTGCTGAGGATCGAACCCAGGGCCACACACGTGCTAGAGGAGCGATCTACCGCTGAGCCACAATCCCAGCCTCAAAATTAGGTCTAATTTAAAATAGCAGTTTGATGGGCTGGGGATGTGGCTCAAGGGGTAGCAAGCGCGCCTGGCATGCATGTGGCCCGGGTTCGATCCTCAGCACCACATACAAATAAARATGTAAAAATAAATAAATAAATTCTCTCTCTTTAATAAATAAATAAAATAGCAGTTTAAGAATTTCTAAAACTATGATGCAAAAATTAACATGCTCAGTAGATTCAGCTGTTTCTCATTGCTATGTTAGTTAAATTTTAAAACTATAATCTTTGACTAATAATTCTATGTTGGTATCTGCTTCTTGTTCTCCTCATTCTCTTTCTGCCTCCCTTCTTTTTCTTTCCCTCCCCCACCCCACACAATAGAAAACCTTTTTATTAATTCCAAGGAAACTTCCGTTCATGTCTAGCCAAGGAATCCATATTAAATGTATAAGTAAACAAATAATTGTCAGAAGGTAAATTAATGATTCTAAGGTTTAATGACATCAGGCTCCAGTAGCCTCATGTGTACCTACTCACTCAAGAAATATCAGAGAAATGAATTTCTTTTCATGGTTTGACTAATTCCCTTTAATGGTTCCCTACTGTTCTTAGTATAGCCTAAGATTCTTATGATTCTGTAGTACATTGGTACCTATCTCCAAATCTCAATTTGTCTTTTACTCATTATGCTTTATTTAGTCTTCTTTCAGTTCCTATACCTTTCAGAGTTCCTTGCTGTTAATCTATGCTTTTTTTCTCTCTCTCTTTTTTTTTTCTGTTTGTTTAAACTTTTGGTGGTTTTAGAGATCAAATCAAGGGCTTCATGCATTCAAGGCAAGCACTTTACCAATGAGCTACATTCCCAACTCCTGTCTTCTTGAAATGTTTCTTCAAAATTTGTTTAACTACTCATTATTTGGGAATCAGTTTAAATGTTACTTCTCTAATCACCCATCATAGTTTAAGAAATTAAGGTCCCTATTCAAATGCTCTCATAAGTCCTGCACTTCTCCTTTGAAATTCTTTCTTTGTGTCACACTAACCCACCACTATCAATACCACTAAACTTCAAGCTTTACAAGTGCACAGATCATGGCTATCTTGTTACAGTTAATTTCCCAGAGGCACAGATTTCACACATAAAAGGCAAAGAGAATATTTGTTGATTGAGTGAATGGGTCTGTCATTAACCAAGTCAATAACTATTAAATTGACCTATTAACTTTAGTTTGATAATTTAGATAATTTTCACTAATTTGTATGATGAAAAATACAAATGAAACACAGAATTGAACAGTCTGAAACCAGTTCCGTTATACTTTATCAGAGGCTTCACTTCTACACTATTCTTTCTTTTCTACATCATCAACAATTCTTTCTCTACTGGATCATTCCTACAAATATCCAAACATGCCTTAATATTTACTCATCTTCAAAACACAAAAACAAAAACTTAATTCTTCTTTTTATTTCCTCCCTTTACAAAAAAAAAAAAAAAACCACCTTTCATGATGAGTTTCTTTCATACATAGTATATGTCTCCATTGTATCACCTTTCATTCTCTTACCAACCCCATTCTAATCTGGCTTCTGAATCGTCATTCCACTGATACTGTTCTCCCCTAGGTCATTCTATAGAGAAAATTAGTGAACTTCTGTATCAGAAATATAGCCCAGAAAGAGGAACTATATTTTAAAAAGAAAAGAGACATGGAGTAAGAGGAAAACTAAGTCTAAAAAGAAATACATTACAACAAAATAGAATGGGGGAAGAGGCAACATTTGAAGAGACAAAAGCCAAGAGTTTTGTAAAGTTGTTGAAAGTCATCAATTCTGAGATCTAGGAAGTCCTAACAAGTTCTAAACAGAATAAACAAAAAATCCATACCTAGACACATCAGGACTGAAGAAAAAGGCATATTCCTAAAAACAACTCAAGAAAAGACAGATCACCTTCAAATGAACATGAACTACTRTAATTTGAATCTTAAATGTCCCCCACAGGCTTGGTCCCCAACTTGGTGCTCTTGGGAAATGGTGGAAATTTTAAGAGGTGGGGCCTAGTGGGAGGATTTAGATCATTGAGAGGATAACTTTTAAAGGTATTGTGCAACTTCTGTCTGTCTGTCTGTCTCTCTCTCAGCTCTGAGGATTGAACCCAATGATATATAGCCCCAGCCTTTTTTATTTTTTATTTTTTTTACTTTGGGATAGGTTTTACTGGCTTTGAATATGTGATCCAGGAATTCTGGATCATGTGATGAACAAAGCTGAAAAAATTTACATATATAAAACACTTCACCTAATAATTAGAATGTATGTTTCTTATAATAAATAGCATGTTTCTGAATACTGACCAAAAACTAGTCTTTAAAGGAAGCCTAAATATATTCAAGAGTATACACTTTCTGAGTACAACACAATTAACAAAACAAAGCTGATTATAAAAACACCATGTTTAAAAATCTAGGATTTTTTCCCCTAAGCAAATTATAGGTGAAATAAGAAATAATGGGAAACAATAAAATATGTAGAACTGAAAAATGACAAAATACTGCTTGCCAAAATTTGGGAGATGCAGCTAAACAGATACTTAGAGAAAAATAGACAACCTTAAATATTTGTACTAATAAATTTTAAAATAAGAAAAAAGATTTGAACAATTTCAGAATTTCAAGAAATAACAGCATAATAAATCTTGAATCTTAAATAGAAATCAGGAAGAAAGAAAAAGGAGCAGATATTAATAATATAGAAAAAATATGAGAGGAGTAAGTAAACCAAAAGTTGGTTTTTCACAAGTCTAACAAACGTTTTGAATGATTATTCAAGGTGGGGAGGAAAGGTACCAATAAGCAATGTTAGGAATGGGAAAAGGGAACATGCCCTCTCTCAAAATAAAAAAATATAAAAAAGAGGTGGGAATGTGGTACAATGGTAGAGTACCCCTAGGTTCAATCTCTGGTACCATAATCAATCAATAAATAAAGTAAAATGAAAAATAAAATAAAAAGGATTGGGGATATAGCTCAGTGGCAAAGTACCCCTGGGTGTTTATTTCCTAGTATGGCAAAAAACAAAACAAAACCCTAATTAAACAGAATGAAAAGTCTAGAAACAGATCACACATCCATGAAAATTTGATGTATGACAGAACAGTCTTGGAGGTTAGCAAGGAATGGGGGATATTTTAATATATGAGATGAGGTCAAGTGGTGACCCATAGGAAAACATTATGAAACTAGATTTCTACTTTAAACCAAAAAAAAAAAAAAAAAAACAAGCAAACAAAAATCCAGGTTAAAAAAAGTTCTAAACAGAATGCAAAACTAAAAAAAGTTTAGAAGACAATGTTGGACACTTTATGACTTTTACATGGGGAAAGATTTCTTAAACAAGATGCAGAAAATACAAAGCATTAAGAAAAAGTTTGAAATTATATTCTTTTTTTTTTTTTTTTGGTACTGGAGATTGAACCCAAGGTCTTGTACATGCCAGGCAAACACTCTACTCTAAGCTACACCCCCAGCCTGAAATTACATTAAAACTAGGGATGATGGTACACACTTGTAATCCCAGAAATTTGGGAGGCTGAGGTAGGAGAACTGCAAGTTTGAGGCCAACCTCAGTGACTCAGTGAGACCTTCAACAACTAAGTGAGACCCTGTCTCAAACTAGGATTAAAAAGGGCTGGGGCTGCAGCTCAGTGGTAAAGTGCCCTTGGGTTCATTCCCCAGTACAAAACAAAGCAAAACAAAACCAAAAAACAAAAAAAGAAAAAACCCAATTATATTAAAATAT